AGTTACAGTGAGTAACTACCCGCCTGGCACTTAGTTAGGGGGTTTTATTCCCTCCCTAACTTCAGGGAAAAATCCCTACCTGGGGAAACAATCTTTCTCAGAGAGGTGACCTTGGTTAAAACACATAGTGCCAAGAAGGTGAGCAAACATATTAAGAACAGTATGCCATATATGCCAGGTCCCTTGAAACAGCAAGGATGGACCGGCTCCCGGCAATAGATCTCCCATTTGACCCAGTAATCCCACTCCTAGGAATATATCCCAAAAAATCAGAAACACCAATCAGAAAAAACATATATATCCCTATGAACATATATATCCCTATGAACAATAGCAGCACAATTACAATAGCTATGATTTGGAAACAGCCTAAGTGCCCATAAGTGAATTAAAGAACTGTGGTATACCTACACAATGGAATACTATGCTGGTATAAAAACGAAAAAACTTTTACCATTTGCAACAGCATGGAGGAACCTGGAGAGCATTATAATAAGCAAAATAAGCCAGTCGGAGAAAGGTAAGTATCTCAGGATCTCACTCATTTGTGGACTATAATGAACAACATAAACTGATGAACAAAAACAGATCCAGAGACACAGAATCATGGAACAGACTGTCAAACCTCAGAGGGAAAGGGGAGTGGGTTGGGGATGAGATCAACCAAAGAACTTGTGTGCATATAAGCATAACCAATGGACAGAGACAATGGGGGGTGGGAGGTGAAGGACCAGGCTGGGAGAGGACAATGGAGGGAAAAGGGGACATATATAATACTTTCAACAATAAAGAATTAAAAATAATAATAATAAAATAAAATAGATTTGTCACTTTTTTATTTGAAAAAGTTTCCATGACTGCCCCAACACTAACTAGCTTAAACTCATCATGAAGCATATCAAGCCAGCACCGTTCCATTCCAAAATTAAAATCTGAGCCTCCTTTCCTCTCATACCCGCCTCTCCCTTGCTTCCTTTTCTAACAATAAAAATAATCTACACTAATAAAAGAGAAACACGGTAATTGGCGTACGACTGCTACCCTTTTCAGTGACTAATCAGCGAGATGTGCAAATTAACTGTCAGCCAAGATGGCGGCCAGCAGCCAGGCAGCTTGAAACTAACATGAGGCTTGCTTGCCTCAGTGACGGAGGACTCCAACAGTTCCACACCTGCGGCTGCTGGCCTCTGAGCCAGCAGTTTCAGAAACTCTGTAACAAATACCACTGGACTTCAGCCAGCACAATCGCAACATTGTAAGCAAAGGCCAGAAAC